GCTACCACCAATGACCACCCTGACAGAGAACACAACAGAGAGTCCCGGATGGAGCAGGAGAGAGGTGGGGTACAGAACTCAAATTCTGGTAAGAAGACCAGACTTAATGGTCTGACTGAGACTGGAGGAACCCCGGAAAGCATGGCCCCAGGATTCTCTATCAGCCCAGAACTAAAACATTTTCCGAGGCCAACTCTTCAGACAGGGATTGGACTGGACTATAGGACATAAAGTAATACTCAGGAGTGCGCTTCTTAGCTAGATACAAGAGACTCAATGGGCAGCTTCTGTCCATAGATGAGAAGGGAAGGCAGAGAGGGTTAGGAGCTGGTTGAATGGACATGGGGAATCGGGTAGAAAGGAGGAGTGTGCTGTCACAGTATGGGGAGAGCAATTAGAGTCACATAACAATGTATGTATAAATTTTTGTCTGGAAAAAAATTTGGAAAAAAAAAAAGACCCATTCAGATAGGCTTAGTATTTCCCATACTTCTTCACTGTACAGCTGTGAATTTACAGTGCACATAATATTTCAGGACTATTTGAAAGTCAGTTTCAAAGGACACGTGGGTGAGTTTATTTAAAACGCTAGGGAAAAGGGTCATATCTGAAAAACATGCATTCTCCTTTCTTTCTCCCTCTTTTCACAGTTAACTAGCCATCTGATCTTGTTGCTTTGGCTTTTACCACGTTTCACTCCTGGTTTATTCAAGCAAATATTTGAGCATATAAGGTGTGCCAGGCAATAGGAATATGATAAATGAAGTAGATTTCATGTCCTCGAGGAGACTGTAACTATAGTTCAGGCTCAGGCCCCTCTTCTTCTGGCCCAGATTACCTTAGATTCTTAGTCACTACACCTTTAGACTCTTCTCCTAATTCTAATTTATGTAGTTGTGAGATTAATCCTCTAAAGCATAATTCTCATTGGGTCACTTCCCTGCTTAAAATTCCTCATTGCCTACAAAATAGTTCCAACTCTTTTAACCTGGCATTTAAGGCCCCCTCATTGTGGCTGCAACCTATCTTTTCAGCTTTGTTCACTAATATCCCCTTTTACACTCTACATTTTCACCAGGCTTAACTAATTAGGCTGTATACCTATTGTTTTCCCACCTCACTGCCTGTTTATGGAATTCCCGAAACTAGAATGTTCAGTCCTTCTGTCATTTAAATTGCTGTCAGCTGCAGGTCACAGAAAACCCTTGTTCTGCAAGTTTAAACAAAAACAGTATTTATTCTCTCACTTATCAAGAAATCCTGATACAAGGCAGCTCCAGGATTAGTTAGTCCAAAGACCCAGCAGCTTCTGTCTTCCCAACTCATTGGTCAGTATTAGGTCACATCCTCTTCTTACACCTACACTGACAGAGGGAATGTGATTACCATGATTGGTTTAGAGTAGATTAATCAAGATTGACTCCTGTCGTTCCAGGAAGTGGTGAACACCAAAACAAAATCAGGGCTCTGCAGGCAGGGAAAGTGGGGAGTAGCATCTGGGTAATCAGCCAATAGTTTCTGCCACATGTTTTATTTGTATATGTCTGAATTTGATGTTTCTTTAAAAGTTCACCTCAAGTACCATCTCATCCATAAAGTCTTCTCTCTTCCAGATTGCAACAGCAATTTGTTTATATTTCATAATTAAGTTCTATGTTAATTAAAATTATTTAGGTTCCCAGCTCCCCTACTAGACAGTCACCTCCTAAAGACAGGAACTATGTCTAGAGTCATCTTTGTATCCATTACAGCCCCTAGTACAGTACTTTGTACCTGGTAGGAACTCAGTATGTGTTGAGTGAACAAAAACTTGTTGAAGATATGCTCTCATTTTAAATGACTAGGCTTAGGGTAGGTTGAAGCTTTCCTTATTTGTTACAGTATACCTAAATTACATTCCATCTCCATCTTTATTTCACAGAGTACTTAGCTAAAATTGAAGAGGCTGGTGTAAGTTATAGAATACTATGGGAATATGAATGTATCAGGTTTTTGATCCCTTAGTTTTCTTTTACCCCTCTTTGGCAAACACGGAATTAATGTTTAATTTTACTGTTAGTCAAATTCCATTTTGCCACAATATCTCTAATCATTACATCTATATGCAATTAGCTTAAACATCTTCCTTAAAATAAAATTCAAGAAAAACAAAAGTATTAAAGACATAGGCAATTAGATTCTTCATTTGAGTGATTTTTCCTGATTTTAGATCTACTTTAAAGGAATATTTTTATTTGTACTCCTTAGGTTCTTTTCTAAAGAATCTCTGAGAAGTTAGTGTTTGTATTGGGGGAAAAAAGTTGAAGTTCAATATGAAAAGTTGATAAGAGACTGAAAATTTCATATTTCTTAATCT